AAAAATCGCTAGCTAAATTTAAGCTATGATATTACATCAAAAACTAACGTAGGTAATACATTTTAAAAGCGGTGTTAATATTAAAAAGATACGTAGGTAGTTCAACCAACAAAGCTTAAAATATAATAATTAAAAGCGACAAACAGACCTCTCAGCTCATTAACACCAAACTGTAAGTAGTTTTTCATTATTCGCAAACATATGTTCGTACATTAGGCGACACAGAAATGCTCTTCTGTAGACAAAGTTTCTGCGGTTAATATATATGCATGAAAACCCTAGCGACATGACAGGTATTCAGGGTGCTATGTCCACGGTCCCAATTAACACGAGGAATGCCTTGAAAATTCGTAAGCAGACTGAGCCAATTAACATGAGAATGACAGCTAAAATGAGTCCTGGGCTAATCTAACTTTGCGAAGAATTTGAATTAGAACCTCCATTGGATTTTGGCACATATACAATGAGCGAATAAATTATCAAACTTTACCGATAAAATCTCAATGTACTTAGATGTATGTTAAATATAATCTATTTCTTGATATGCGAGTGTGTATTGAGTGTGCTTGTATTCAACCAATTATGGCCCCCAATACTTTAAAAGTGTATTACATGGATCAACGTAGTTTAACATTTTAGATTTTATCCAGGACTCCCGTGGCGCAGTTGCCAAGGTATTGACTTCGGCGTCGGGAGTCGTGGGTTCGATTCTCACACGGAACAACTTTTTGTGTGACCCACAGATAGTTGTTTGGCATCTGGGTGTTTGTCTTGGTGTTTGTAATTTATATTTGTAAAACGTCCTTACAACACAGGATAATGTTATCCTAAAGTAAGGGTAATGTTTAAAAAAAACATTCGCATGGTAATATATTGACCGCTTAGCTTAATGGATAGAGCGTATGCACGCATATCCGGAAGGCGCAGGTGCGAATACCGGCAGCCACATAAATGAGACAGTTTTATCTACACGCGCATGTATAATAAAATCCCACAGTCGATATTAAGTCTGTCGCTTGATCAATTGAAACACAAAATTAAAAGTGAACTTATGGCTAAGGCATATTATATTGTAACACTTTTTTTTCGACGCCTCGTACCCTTAAGATTCGAGTGCCTTATATTGGCAATCCATAGTGGATCGTATAGCGATATCTATCGTGAACAATATAATTTAGTTGAATGGGATCCTTAGAAAATCTATATTTCATTTATCATAGATGGCGTTAGGTCACCTTGTTGTTTTGTCTTTGTTTATTTCCTTAGATTATTTCGGTATTAGTGATTTTATTGTCTTATATATAATATATAAGACAATAAAATATAAATATAAAATACTATCATTTTAATTATGTTGAACTGATATCAAGCAAATTTTGTTTTTACATAATTTTCGATTAGAAACATTGTCTTGTTTAGCATAGTCTGTTGTTTGTATCATCTGTCGTTCCTGCGAGAACGGCAGTCAGCTTCGTCTTGATCATTTCTTATTGGAGCTCTGAGGCGGCCACCGCCTGGCGGCAGCGCCTCTGCATAGTTCGAGAATGTAGGAAAGGAGTATGTGGCATCCTAGGCCACATCCTTTTACATCCTACTTGTATATGGCTTCTTGGCCTTTATATTTTATATAAAAAAAACCCACATCGTTGGTAAGTTTCCTTTGTGCATATATTTTTGGGATCTGACTGTTTTCGGTCCATCATTCGTTTGTTAACAATTGGTATTTTGTTACAGGGTTTTTTTTTTTATTGGTTTCTCTTTCTTCTTTAATGCTACCTCGTAACACTCTGATCTGCTTCTCTCTGATGGCTTGATATCGAACCGCGTGTTCGCCTTATATGCAACTGCATATATATTAAGAAACTGAGGTCCTGCTGTCCACGTGTAACTTGAAGCCGCGGACTAGCTGAATGCCCCTCGGTGGCATGTGAGCATTGGTGAGCTGTGGTCTTCACCCTTATTTGGAAAGTGGGAAGGCAAGCCTGGTTATGTTTCCTTCTGGTATGTGTTTGCTCTAATCTAACTAGCCATTAAACTCATGATTATATTTATGTACTGCTTTGTGACAGTGATTAATTTAATGTATACTTAACTCTTAATGTAACTATTATTATGCCTGATTGGTGAGATCTCACTCCTTTCAATATTTTTAACCTCATATAGTTTAGCTTTATATTTCAAATCTTGTATCAATAAATTGTAAAACTGTTAAGGAATATATCTTTTACTTCGACTAAGTAAATCCCTTAGAATAAGCATTATTCTGTCTTGCACGGGGCCGGCTGGCGCCTATTTAATATAAATTCTGTCCGTCCCCGTGACTGGGTCACCGAGCCTCACCCTGTGGTCTTGATTGGTCCGATTGAGTCAGCCGGAGCGAACCCCTACACCGATCTCCCACTGGTGGAGTCGGGGAGGATGTTTCAATATATACTATTGCGGAGTGTCTAGACGAAGCCAATGTGTGGGGTTCATACTGTTGAGTGTTGATACTCGCGCAGGCTAAAATAAGAATTATACGTCCTGACCTTATTATATTGTAAACTAATCGTTTTAAAAAACTGTTGAGTTTCTTGCCGGTTTCTTCTCAACAGAAACTGCTTTACAAACCGGTGGTAACTTACGATCGTATTGATTTTTATGTAAAATTTTGACTTTTCATAAGAACGCGCAAGCGTCTATGTGAATAAATATATTTTGATTTGATTTGATTTCATTTGACACAGTCTTATCACTAAATAGTTTAAAATAAAACCGTTTAAAAACTTTTAAGTTAAACGGTTTTATTTTATGTTTTTTTTTTGTGCACTGAAAACTACAATATTGTATTGTCATCTAAATTAAATGTGTGTACCAAATTTCAGATCAATCTGACAACGGGAAGGTGCTTAAATTTTAATTTCTAATTTTGACCCAAATAAATAAACAAATTCTACGAGCTAAATAAAACCGTTTAACAAAGTCATCCTGCTGTCTGTCTGTCCCTTAGATCTTCAAAACTACCTAACGGATTTTGATGCGGTTTTCTTAAATAGATAGAGTGATTCAAGAGGAAGGTTTGCATGTATAATTCATGCATAATACAGTAAAGAAACACTGATCACTTTAGAGGATTTTAATGCGACATCGACAACAAAGTTTCAGCATTGCAAACGTGCGAAGTCCGGGCGGGTCGCATGTGTTTTATAAATTTATTAATGACTGAATGAATGAATGTATGAATATACTTTATTACACACCAAAAATAAAATAAACAAAAATCTAAAACTCAAGTGATGGGTACAATGAGCAGCCTTATTACTAAAAGTAATTTCTTCCGTTCAACCTATTATATAAATACCTTTTATATTTGGCGCTGGCAGCACTGTATACCGGACATGACGTTATCTACTCGAGCCAAGAAACACATGTTCGCCTAGAGCAGTGGTCACTTGGATGTTGGCTGCGTTCCCGGAGAGTGATATAACCATTAGTGCTACTTGTCGTTATAATAGTTGTTAATATTCAAGTTCAGTAATAGTTAAAATATTAGAATGAAGGTAAAAACGTTAGAACTCTTATATTTGAATACTTTTTTCGGTTTTATTTTCATATATGAAAATAAAATATAACGTTTGTAACTTTACACTGTTATACTCAATATCAATACATTATCAGGCATGATCTATGTATCTAATTATTACGAAACCCTGTAAAAAAGTCTGTTAATTCAAATTTTTGGAACCTTCCGTGACACGAGCTACAAGGAGCATGAGTAGGTACACGATTTTTTTTTGGTTGATGATGAAAGATTAACTAACTTTGTGACATTTCTGCAATTACCTGAAACTAATAAATGCCTAATGTATTTGACATGAATAGTACTCGAGGATAAATATTAAACATGGACCTTTGGAAAAAGAAAATCAGCTAATATCGGTTTCGTAGAAAAAAAAATTCCCTCACAATTAAAATAATCAACTGGAATATATCTTGTGATTTTAGGATAATGGAAATATCGTTAATCAGAAATATCGCTATTGTATGCCATTTTGATGTGATTTTGGCGAAATATCAGTGGAATAATCATGTGATATCAGTGGGATATTCCAATGATATGATTTTGGTGGAATGTTTTAATCGTTATTATATAGGGAAGAGTGTGGAATTTTGGGAAAAACAACATAGGGGTCCGAATGTTCAATTCACAAAGAAATTAGGCAGATTTTAACACAAACTGTATCTCTTCGTATATAATATATTTATCCATTCGATATCCCATTGAATAAAAAAAAACATAGGTACTCATAGCACGAGATCCCACTGCGCGATTGCTACGTATTCTACCATGTGGGTCAGAGGCACAGAGCTCTATAAAATGTTTATTGTTTTGTATCTACAATAGGAAAACATTCAAATTAAATCAAAAAATACACGCACAGTAAAACGGACCTTTCGAGATTTATTAAGCGTAAAAACGTTATTTTCTATGTTACCCCAATTTAACCTCTCCACCTTCAAAGGGATTTATGGTCCGAGTGTTTTAGGAAAACAAAGCCATAGACTTTTTGGTGCGATTATAATTTTCTGTTTTCAATTTTGTTATAATTATGGCACATATATAATCTAATTCATAATTTATCAATAATTTATTAGTACAGTTTGTTGTGACTTATTTAAAAATTGTTGGTTTGATACCTATTGCGTCGTGATATTTATTTATTTTTTTTGATGGGTATAAATTCACTCTCACAACGTACGCGGGTTAGTTTTTGGTTATTGGAAGTTAAGGCTGTCGCTCTGTTGGAAAAGCTAAGCATTATTTTTAACCAATTACTGAGTCATTGTTGAGTTATAGTTGTATAAATCGGTGAAAGCTATGTTTTATTACATGTGTCTAATAATTTAGTGTTACTGTGTAAGCTTCCTTAATTTACGTGCTTCTTAAATGATAATTTTAGTTCGTCAACCCTGTATTTAATTTAAAAATTCGGGATTGAAATAATAAACAGAAAATTTTAATTCGATGGTATTAGTCCCTGCTGTATTAATTTCTGTCTTTTAGCGTCCTCCTTTGCAAGTCTTTCAGCCTCCAACTTTTCTTGTTGTTCCTTCTCTTCTTGTGCTTTCTTTATTGCCATCTCTGCCAACGTCTTTTGGTCCAATTTAAAGAAGTTAATTGGTTCCTTGAAGAATTTCTCATCTTTACTGTTCATGTTCTCAATGAATTTGACGTAGTTAAACGTGCCATCTAGAGGATTGTACGTTTTGTCCTTTGTCGCCAGTTTTATGAAATCAACAAACTCTATCTCCTCCAGGGGTTCGCCCCATTGCATTAGCTCCTCTTTGAGTAGTTCCATATCAGTGCTACCAGTCTCTTCGTTGTCATGTCCTAGGGTTGCAAAAGCGTTGGTTACGGCCAACTCAAAATCGTCCCCCCAGCCCATCTTCGCTTCGATCATGAACAAGAACTCGTGGTATTCAACTGTGTCGACAAGATCGTCTTCTAGAAATTTCGCAAAGAGCTCCTTGATCTCCTCGCCCTTCGGATTGAAGCCGAGTTTCCTCAACATCAACGGTATAGCTGGTAATTTCACCTGTTCGTATTATAATATATATATATAGCTAATGAAACTAGATTTTATAGTTTGCCTGAAAAAAGATCTATGTTTAACTGAGTGGCAGTTAAACATAGATCTTTTTCATGCAAAACTTAACGGCTTCAAGCGTTCGAATAGTGACACTTTTGTTAAGACACGAAATAAAACCTTAATATTTTTAAAATATCTTAAATTCTAGAGTGCTAATCTCTGTAATTATGATGAAATTTTAACTTTTAAAATTAAGACGATTTTTACGCAAATTTGATAGTTCAATATGTTTAGACCGAATTCAATCTAATGTTAAATAGATTAGATGTAATTTAACATTAATATAAAAAAAAAACACGAGATCTCAGGAATTTATCCTAAGTGGGTCGAAAGTATTAAAAATTTATCCTAAGTGGTCGCATAAATGTATTATCAAGTTTCAACAGCTTCATTTCGTTCAACTGATTGAACTGAAATTCATTTCGTGAAACTGCACTTAGCACACTTAGCAGTTCTAGCCACTAACATATCCTTTTACCTGATCTATAATTTAAACAATATTTTTTTCATAATCCTTCTTACCTTGTCAATATTTTCTTCGTCATGCGCTTTAAACATTTCCTTGAATTTAGCCAAATCCTCTGGAGAGAAGCATGCCGGAGGGGGTGGTATTTTTTTTGGCTTCGGTGGTGGACCCATCATTGGTTTTGGCGGCTCCTTTTCCTTACTTTTAGCACCTTTCCCGTCTTTATTTGAATTATCATTTATTCATATGTAATATTTTTATCCAATTACATTACTAGTTTTAATGATTAATATTACATTGTAATGTTACCCCAGCTCATTGTTTTATGTTACTTATAAAACTAAATTCCGTAGTTTCATATTATTAAACCTTATATTTAGCTAGATTAAATTACGTATTTCACTTTGGTATAAAAATGCAACGGCTTCTGTTGTTTCACGAAAAGGTACGCTGGTCCAAGGAAGTACCACGGCCTCGCAAAATACCAGCATCAAGTGACTAGACTTTCACGTTCCGACTGTTAAGTGAAGTTACCGGATCCCATTTATTTGAAATGTACACAACGTAAGTGCATACTGTTTGCGTGACAACTATTCAGATAAAGAAATAATACAACCTCTCTCGTGTATCAAATTTAACTATGTAGAGATCCACTTTATTATAAATACATTATTTAAACCAGTGATATATATATATATATATATATATATAAGACTCAGATAATTGACTCATCACGATATCTCTGGAACCATAAAGCGTATAGACTTGAAATTTGGTAGGAATATTCCTTTCGCCGAGTAGAGGTCAGCTAAGAACCAACATTACGAAATTCCACAAAACAACGTTTGCCGGATCAGCTTGTTCTTTTATAAAGCCCAATTATATGAAGAAATAATAGAAAAATGAAAAACTAAAGAGAAAAATGGAAATAAATCAACTCTCAACAAAAATTAAGATATGAAAGCTTGCATTTTTGTAGCGTATTTCGAATTACGAATAAACCTCCTAATAAAGATACAATTAAAAATATTTTACTTGACAATTTTTATCACTGTCGTATGAATAATTTACTATGTTTACTAAAAATCAATAAGTAACCTTTTTTAGGAGCCATGATGGTAGTGACCAATTTTTTCCAAAAATAAAATTAATAGTTGCCTCAATACATTAATGAAATTAAAAAATCACATTGGTAATATGTTGTATTATCGAAAATGACGCAACATTACAACAACCACGACTGCTGTCGTTTCTATTAAAGACTTATAAATTAAAAAGCCATTATTTTGTCTTTGGGTGCACCAGACACATACCAAACTAGATGAAAAATTATATTTAAAACCATATTTTAACCATCGCACGTTATAAACTTTAGTTAAAAGAGATTAAACAAGTGAATCTAATACTTATGTCCCAAATGAGTTACTGCTTGCCCTTATATCATTAACATTGGAGTCAACGCAATTAACATAAACTCGTAAATATATTAGCATGTGGATGTGAAACTGCAAACACTTGTCCTAGGCACCAAATATCTGACCTGTTAATGATCGTAAATGGTATATTTACGTTTATTATCGATATTAATTATTGTACTTAGATACTTAGTAGATTAATATAAATGTAGTGTCTTAAACTGTTAAAATTTTTTACGTATTATGATAGTACAATATACCATATATTACTTCTTGTTCCCTCCCTGTCGGTTGTATACGAGGAAACAAAGTCAATAGCAGTTTTTAACAGGTTTTACCTATTTTCGTTCGAATTTTATTAAAACATTTTGCCTATGTGCCAAAACTTAAAATCTGGAATAGCAACATAACCAATTTATTTATATATGTCCTCTGCTCTCTCATCACAAAAGGTATGTTTCTGAAAATAATCCTTTTTTTATTTCATTATTTTTGCCCGCTTCCTTGATTACATTCCATATAGTTTTAAATTTATTTGACGAATATATTATTATTCCTTGTAATCTGGCAAATAGAAATATCACAAACATTACGAGAGTAAATGGTTAAGAACTGTTGTCTTCTTAAAAAAAAAACAAAAAAGACGCCAAGTTTGACAGTTCATGTTTGATTCGATGCAGCGGTGTCCTCGTTTGTTTGGAATAAAAGTTGAATTTAATATAGTAAACTTATTTTGTTTCCATAAAAGCAGTCATATATATATATAACAAATAAAATGGTGGCACGCGTTGCAGGCGTATTTGATGAAAAATTAACGGAAGCGATTGCTAATTCCAAAATTCTAGTTGTAGGCGCCGGCGGTATAGGTTGTGAAATTTTAAAGAATCTTGTTTTGACCGGCTTTCCACAGATTGAGATTGTAAGTTTTTGTTAGAAAACATCTTACTCCCTCTACATGTCTTGGTTTATTTTATCGTTTATGATTTTTACAGATCGACCTTGATACCATCGACGTAAGCAATTTGAACCGTCAGTTTTTATTTCACAAGGAACATGTTGGCAAATCGAAAGCGCAAGTAGCTAAAGATAGCGCTTTAAGTTTCAATCCTCACGTGAATATCGTAGCACACCATGACAGTGTCATAAGGTTAGTGTACCTAGTTTATTATGGCTCAGTCAATTGTTCAAAATTTATTTGTAAAATTGTACTGATTTCTGCCTGATATATGATAAATACATGATTTCCAGCAGTTTCAATATAATATATTAAGTGTATACATATAGTATATTTTATGTTATGCTGAAAAATTTATCTTTAATAATTGTGAGGATCATCAGTAAAAAGCTTACTATCATGACATTCACTCATGATTCACTTGCAATTATTCAGATCGAGCTGGTATTTATGTATCATAACAATTTTTTTTAATCAATTTATTTTTTTTTTTCATTTCCAGTAATGATTACAGTGTTAGCTACTTTAAAGAGTTCAGTATTGTGATGAATGCTCTTGATAATCGGGTTGCACGTAACCATGTCAATAGAATGTGCCTAGCTGCCAATGTGCCGTTAATAGAGACTGGAACAGCTGGATATGCAGGACAGGTAAAAATTTATTTGTTTTTATATTTAACAGCTATTTGTTTGATGATACATTAAAATTATGGTGGTTATATACAAGCCACCAATCGGTATAATACATTTTCAATTAGATTGGCATTGTGGATAGTGACTCTTGTGCCAAAAGGTGTGGGTTCAATCCCCACTACTGAAAAAATACTGTGTCTTGAACATAGTGATTTTCCAGTGTCTGGGTGTTTATATATTTATTTATAAAAGAAAAGTATGTTTATTAATTATCTGGCACCCATAGTACAAGCGTTGCTTAGTTTGGGACCTGAAATCATTGTGTAAAAATGTGTCCTGAAATATTTGTTTATTTTTTTATATATTTCATTATAAAAAATTTAACCTTGTTATTTTCACCAACATCCATCTTTTCATTGACTTCATTAGAATGGTAAATATACAGGGAGATTTTTTGAGAAGTGCCAAAATTTACACAGGAGGTTCAGACTCGATAGTAATTATAATTGATTATTAAACAAAGTTTATTTTCCAAAAAAAATGCCATTCTATTCCCTAAAAAACAGAACATGTTGACAATGCAGTAGTCATTCATAAATATCTAAATTTTACTGTGCACGAACTTGTGTGTGTGTGTTAGTTATGAATGATCTCGCGTAAAATAAATGAATTGCGTATAAATCAGTAGACGGGTGAAAATTTAGGGTTGTATGTATTTTTGTATGCTGTATCATAAAAAAAAACAAAATTTTAACTAAAAAATAATATGTGTGGTGGACCACCCTTACCATTAAGGGGGATGAAAAATAGATGTTGTCCGATTCTTCACAGTGCCCGATATGCACACAAAATTGCACATAAACCAGTCGAGCTGTTTCGGAGGAGTTCAATTACAAGCAACTTGACACGAGAATTTAATATATTAGAAATAATATTTAATAGAGATAAATAATATGAATTATACAAATATTTTGCACGGGTCCACCAGTCTTAATATAATAAATAAAATTTGTTTTAATTATGGTTGCATACATTAATTCATAAAATGGAGAGCCCTTCTCTCTCTCTGATCTCTACTTATATTAAAACTTTGTCTGTTGTCTTGTCTGTCATATAAGAACTTTTTTACCCAGGAATGGGTGGAGGTTCAGCATAAACAAAAATTACATTTTGTTAAGTGAAATAGATATCTAAAAGGATCTATTTTACCAACCAACTAACTATTCTGTCGCTGGATTACAGGTGGAGCTCATCAAAAAGGGCATGACCCAATGCTACGAGTGTCAACCGAAGGCGGCGCAGAAAACATTCCCCGGTTGCACCATCCGCAACACGCCCTCTGAGCCAATTCACTGCATTGTTTGGGCGAAGCACCTCTTCAATCAGCTATACGGCGAGGAAGATCCGGACCAGGACGTGAGCCCTGACACTGCGGACCCCGAGGCTGCCGGAGACGCAGGAGCATCAGCGCTCTCCACAGAGGGCAACGCATCCGGCAACGTGGAGAGGAAAAGCACCAGAGCATGGGCGGCGGAAACCAACTACGATCCGGAGAAGCTGTTCACGAAACTCTTCGGCGACGACATCCGCTACCTGCTGCTGATGGAGAACCTGTGGAAGAAACGCAGGCCCCCCACTCCGCTGACTTGGGACAATCTGCCGGGGAAGGACGAAACTCCAACACCCCACTCGGGGCTGCCCGATCAGAGAGTGTGGTCTGTCCACGAGTGTGCTAAGGTAATTTTGTTTTTTAAAGCTACTATGGGAAATAAGACAAGATAATTTCAACAAATAACATTGTTCCAACTAGATTTGATCAGAAAGCCAAGATTACTAGAACCATGTATTTTATTTGCTTTAGTGTTGCCTACCATAGTAAGTGGCGTTACTGTGGTAGTGTCTGGTAACTCCCTTTTCTGTTGGATGCATATGTAGGCATTCTGTGGTAGTGTCTGGCAACTGCCTTTGCTGTTGAATGCATATGTAGGCTCATCGGGGAAAAGTAGACAGAGGACCAGCTTGAAGTGATACTTTCACGTTTCGTCTGATGACTGAAGTAACTCAGGCTCACTTTTTATAAAGGTATGTGTTTTATGTAAAGTCAATGCATTTGCAAGCCCACAGATATGAAAGATGACAATGGGCGGTGGTATTCTTTAAGTGAATGAACTCAAGGGGTGTCTCAACCAAATTTTCTGCATTTACTCCACTATTCATTTTATTATCTATAAAATGCAATACCCGTAGGGTTGCAGATGTGTTGCCAACTTTCATTAAAGTGGACCCTGGTAAGGGCACTATTAGCCCTTTTCACCCCACTATCCATTCGGACAATAACCGTAGTAGAGCCAAGCAACAGTTTTCGCAGTTGTACGAATGGGCAGGTCTGCCCGGGTCAGTACTACGATCTCACAGAAGACCGTCTGGTGAGTGAGGTAGCCTGGGCCCACTTTATTCCAAAGTGGCAACGCATCTGCAATCCTACGGGTGTTGCAAATGTCTAAGGAGGCGGCGGTTATCACTTAACCTTAGATTAGCTGGTTGGTGGTTCACCTGCTACCTTCTCATATAGAAAAGATCTCTTTTTCACGAACAGAGAGTACTGGCACAGGGATACAATTTTTAGTGATTTTTCTTTTGTCGCGTCCACTGTCGAACATAGTGCCTCCCCCTTAGAACGCAACAACGAACGACACTGCCATTTGCATCCATCGGTTTCCCTCGTCGCTCCTCCTAGGCTCCAACGCCACTCGTTCGCGGTCGCCACTCGAGAGCTTTTATTCCCCATCTGATTCATTCCACTGCTACTCCAGCTTGCATGGCGTGTGCACGGTGTGCATATAAAACTATCCGGGTGTGTACGGTGTGCATATAAAACTATCCGGGTGTGTGTACGGTGTGCATATGAAACTATCCGGGTGTGTACTAAAACTACATCTATCCGTCGCGCGGGGGGGGGGCAGGTGTTCTCGGAGAGCTGCAACGCGTTGAGCGCCGATCTCCGCTCGCGGCCGGACGGCGACCACCTCGTGTGGGACAAGGACGACAAGAGCGCGATGGACTTCGTCACGGCGTGCGCGAACATACGCGCGCACATATTCGGCATACCGCTCAAGTCGCGCTTCGAGGTCAAGTGTGAGTTTTTTTTTTTTTATTGTAAACTACCGACCCGCCCCGGCCTCGCACGAGTGCAATGCAATACGTATAAACCTTCCCCTTGAATCACTGTATCTGGTAAAAAAAAACCGCATCAAGATCAAGCAGTTTTAGAGATGTATGCAGTTGTAGACAGACAGCGGGGCTGGTGCAATGTATTATACATATAAACCTTCCTCTTGAATCACTCTATGTAGAAAATAAAACCGCATCAAGATCCGTCGCGCAGTTTTAGAGATGTAAGCATACATAGGGACAGACAGCGGGGCTGGTGCAATGTATTATACATATAAACCTTCCTCTTGAATCACTGTATGTAGTAAATAAAACCGCATCAAGATCCGTCGCGTAGTTTTAAAGATCTAAGCATACGGACAGACAAACAGCGGGACGACTTTGTTTTAACCGACTTCAAATAGGAGGAGGTTTCTCAATTCGACCGTATATATTTTTATATGTGTGGTCGGAGATAACTTCGTTATTTATAAACGGATTTTGATGATTCTATTTTCGTTGGAAAGGAGATATCCCAAGGGTGGTACCAAGATAAGGAAACCCAGATCTGATGATGAAATCCCAGAGAAATCGAGGGCAATCCTCAAATGTTATAGGAGTTGACAATGTTGTTTTACTTTCGGCCTTATTGAACTCGGTTTTTCTTTGTTCAAAATTATTTACTATCTAGTGATAGCCGTCGAGCGAGTAGGCGGTTCACCCAGTGAAATATTTGCACCCTATTCCTTATTATGCTCAATTGAGTATTCTGCAGACTACTCCGAGAGCAGACTGCCTTTGAACTAACGGTGGTGGGGCCTCGCAACGGTGTTGACTGTTGCACGAATGGGCAGGTCCCTCCGGGTAAGTACCACGACCTTACAGAAGACCGACGTGAAGTGTACTTGTGCGTTTCGTCTGGTGAGTGGGGTTACCAGGGCAAACTTAATTCAAATGCGGCAACGCATCTGCAAGTCTACGAGTGTTGCAAGTGTCCAAGGGCGGCGGTTATCACTTAACATCAGGTGAACCGCCAGCGCGCTTGCCATATCCTCAAGAATGGCTCTAAAGACAACGAATAAAGCAGATACGTATTAAAAACGGATTTTTAATTTTTTTTAATTTTTCTTTTTTTTTTTATTATAGCGTGTCATTGAAAATCACGATCGCCTTTTTGGTTCGAATGAAACCGTGATATATATCAATACCATATCTGTGTCAAGTTAAAGATACGGAATGCAATGTAAAGTATTTGATTAAAATTCGAAATTAATGTTGGCTACATATTCCATATAAAACAAAGCCAAACAGCAACACCATAGATATTTGCTATTATTAGTAACTAGGTGATACCCGCGACTTCGTCTGCGTTTCTTATTATATTAACGACGTATGTTATTTAACACTGTAAGAAAACACACTGGGCATCTAGTGCTTGTATAAATATTTGCTTTTTTAACTTAAATGTAGATATTTTTTTTTTATTGCGGCCATGTGTTTAAGAAATGTAACTTAATTGTAATATATCCAGTAGTTTTTCCGTGATAAGTTCTCAAAAGCAGACAGAGATATTATATCCTTTTATTTATAAAGAATTATCAAAACATGATATATAATATTTCACAAGTTTGTGAAAGTTTAATCTAAAAATTGAAAATCAGAGACATCGATGCAAGCTAATGGGCTTTCTGTTGACCTGGTTGAATTGGTTCGTGAAAATATCTAAATTTATACCAAACCAAGGACACCTGTCATTTTAGTACTTTTGAGCTCCGTAATGATACGAACTCGAGTGATTATTGGTATTTAAACTAGGTATGGTAAATAAGCTACGATTCGTTGTCAGCATGGAGACGTTAATATACATAATATTTTCCAAAAATGTTTAACCGACAACAAAATAGAACACGACCCGAAATTGAAACGAACTGTAGATGAGTGTTCCCAAACAAATCTCGAACATCGAAGGTTTCCGATGGAAATGTCCATTTTAAACGGTGACGCCCGGTTTCTGTAACACTGATCATCGTAGAAGTTGACTAACCAGTTGTCAAATGGCTTTTCAAATGTTATTTGAGTTGCCAAAAGGATGGTTAAAATCTTTGAATTGATCATTCCGATCATTAATAAGATCACTCTGATCAATGAGTTTAACCATCCCTTTGGCAACTTAAATGACATTTGAAAAGCCATTTGACAGGTGATTAGTTAACATCTACGATGACAGTGTTTCAGAAGCCGGGCGTCAGTCAGCGCGACGATATATTGAAGGGAACAATGCCATTATCTGGCTCATTTACAAGAGTGACTCTTTCATCTTTCGCCTCGTGACCGTTTCCGATAGAGTAAACAAACAAACAATCTCCCGACAAATGTACAATAGCCACGACGCGGCACTCTTGAGAGCGTTTAAAACTTTTAACAGCAACGCAAATAGATCAGCCAGATGGTGGATGCAAAACGGCCGCTAGACGCTCCAGCGCGTTTCACAATCGCAAAGATAGATTTAATTGCAACAGTAAATTACTTTGGCGTAAGCAAGCGCACGACTTACTATCCGGAATTCTTGTTTTCTCCGCGAGTTTTATTTAACCACGGTATTCTCGCACTACGGTGCCTCGACGAGCAGTATTCGCGAGTTTCGAACAACAATATAGATGCAAAAAATTTCGACTACCCTTCCTTTCTTGGTGTATAATATTCAACGCTCACAGCTCTATTACCGACTTAATGGTCACATAATATTATACGTTAATTGGTGGGAACTTGTAATTTTATTTGCTATAAGGAAAGCTAGGTTATCCGCGAATAACATTGTCTTCTGATTCTGGGATAATATCATTGAGTAAATTTTTTTTGTTCTCCTTTGAGAGAAAGTGTAGGTTGGGGTAGTTTTTTTAAAATGTTATCAACTGTAACATCGTAAATATTTTCATCCACTATAAACAGTTTCCCATCTGTACTAGTTATGTTTAAGAAAGTGATCTCTGCTTATTCGTCCTCTTCTCCCATACTTTACCCACACAGGGGTTGATGCTTTAAAATTTATGATTTGTGTAGAGCCGTGATAGCTCTTAGTCTACTCGCTCGCCTTTAATTCAATATACTCGAGCACCCTGAGTTCGATCCCCGGTGCCGGCACCAATGAAGTCTTTAACTTTAAGTGCTGACTTATCACGTGCTCCGCGGTGAAGGAAAACATCGTGAGGAAACCTGCATATTTTCGAAATAATAACAAAAGATATATATTTAGAAAATATGTGAAGTCCGCCAATGCACGAATGGGCTGGCCCGTCCGGGTAAGTACCACTACCTCACAGAAGACCAGCGTAAAGTGGAAGTATATCAAATACTTTCGCGTTTCGTCTGGTGAGTGAGGTAGCTGGAGCCCAATTTTCAAAAGGTCAACGCATCTGTAACCCTCGGGTGTAGCAGATGTCCATGGGCGGCGGTATTCATTTAACATCAGGTGACCCGTCTGCTCGTTTAGCAACTTATGGCATAAAAAAATGCTTTTCATGTGAGAATGAATTGTATAAATGAATGTAAGATTTACCAGAAACAAGATTCTATGATATGAAATAAAATTGATTGTGAAGATTTTTTATGAAAACCTATGTACTTTTACCTAAAAACTTATCATATTACGGTTGCCAGTTATTTATAAATTTTTCGTTATTTACATGTGAAGCTAACAATATGAAGCCATAAAGCAAGCATTTTATTTCTAAAATCATTTTCCTGTCTGGAAATAATTTCCCTGTCCCGAAAATGAGGAATAATTAAATAATTAAATTTATTATTAAACACATACATGTGAGTTATCGAATATAACACGGTATTTATTTATTCAGCAAAACTCAACCAGTACTCCAACAACCAAACTCAAGCAACCAGTCAAACATACAGTTTTACTTACTTACTTTTCTCTGTAATTAATTACTTTTCTAAAAATATAAAAAGGAAAATGATAAAAGATACTGGTAACGGCAGGAAAATACAATTTGGAGTGTCACGTTGGCAAAATGGCGGAAATAAATGGTTTGGGAGGCTTTAAGCATCGTACCATCTATCCTGGACGCTGATTAGTTCGTTGAGATCATATAATTTTAGCGCTAGATCCAAAAAAAAATCGTTCCGTGCTTTCTTTTAAAATAAATGTCTTTTTAAGTTTGTGAACTGGTAGAACAAATATACAAATCTCTGGCAAAAACGTAAAATTTATTTATTTATTTATTTATCCTTTATGCACAAATAGTACAATGGGGGACTTAATGCTAAAAGCATTATCTCCCAGTCAATTTATTAATATTTTAATTTATAATTTAAAAAGTGCTCAGCCCCCGATTTGTCCAATTATAAAATATTGACCCAGAGGTGAATGTCACAGATGATACGTATGATATGGAAAGAGATAGCAGTCTATAAAAATATAATTTACACTAATTGGTGTAATTTGAGTTCCTCAATTTTGCTAATGTCATATCTTTTTGTATATAATATCACAGGACTCGCGGACCAAGGGTTCCGTACCATTATCTATAAAAACGGTAAAAAAAAATATGTCTGTTGTATGGGAGCCCCATTTAAATATTTTTTACTCTACTATTTAGTATTTGTTTTATGGCGGCAGAAGTACATCATCTGTGTAAATTTCAACTGTCTAACTATAACGGTTGATGAGATACAACCTGGTGACAGACGGATAGACAGACAGAGGAGTCTTAGTAATAGGGTCCCGTTTTACCCTTTGGGTACAGAACCCTGAAAGGCAAAAAGAGCCGGGCAGGCTTTCTCAAGCCATTTACTTGACCTTGGGAAATTTGCGCATCGGCCTATGTTGTTCATAATAACGCCTCGCTACAGCAATGGCCGGCAACATAATACCGGCTATCGCCACCGCCAACGCGATTGTGGCCGGTCTAGCGGTGCTGCGGGCCCAAGCGATCCTCAAGGGTAACATCGACTCCTGCACCAGCGTTTACCTTAGGCCCAAGGTCAACCACCGCGGCCAGCTGTTCGTCCCCGAACGCAGTAAGTGGGATGATTTGTTTATTTATTACAGTTACACACACGTACACAACTACCATTACAGGCTGATCCAATGCGATTTTGTGGCCAAAAATTATAAAATAGTCAATACAAAAAAATAAAAAATAATGATGGCTTATACTTGGAAACTAGTCGAAGTACCTGTATTAGGGCCACGCAACAACTTCGGGTCATAGATCCGCCCGCCGGTAAGTATGATAACCTCACAGAAGACCGGCGTGAGATGCAGTTCTACTTCTACGTTTCTTCTGGTGAGTGAGGAAGCCGGGGCCCATTTCATTGAAAGATAGCAACGCATCTGCATCCTTACGGGTGTACAAATGTCCATGAGCGGCAGTTATCACTTAATATAGTTGAACCACCAACTCGTTTGCTACCTTCCCACATAAAAACTAATGCAATATAATAATCATGTCTAAATTTTTTTTTTTATCATTAAACATAAGCTAAACACAACACCATATATTTATACGTATACGTAGTACGTATTATTAGTAATTTATCAAACTATATGATACAATATTTCATAAGTTATGAAACATTAATCTAAAATAAAGCGATAGCGATCCTTGCGGCTCGGCATATCAATACACGAACCGAGTTTCGGTGTTCGTATCTTATCGATGCACTCTAGTGGGCTTTCCGTTGGATACGGTGCGATCAACGACAGACTAGCCACCTGCCTCATTTTCATATTTCTGAACTGCCAAGTTCTAGTCTGTGTCCATTTCAGAGTAGGCGACGTAAATACCAATACCAATAGATATAAACTCGAGAGTTTACCAGTGTTTAAACTAAATAAAAGAAAATCCCATGGCATTTACGGGTTATTATTAATACATGAACTGCTATTTTAGCTAATTGTAAACTAAAATGAAGTATTAACTACTAAGGGCTATTTAAAAGTATGAATTTTATAGACATTATTGGGCGGAAGTGTTATTGCCGTCTGTATCCGGTACAAGTTCATATCTCTGTTGCAAAACAGTACGAATTAACTTGACAGAAAAAACGGTACTATCCCGATTCATTCATTATAGAGATCGAGAGCATATAGTTCTTGTGCTTGTGGATTCGTTTCTACTGACAGCCGGTATACGTGGACTGACCGCGCCAATTTGTTTAATTGGTTGGAACTCTTTAATTGCCGGCGGGCCGTCAAACAAACTGACGGAAACAGCTTCTGATTGATTAATTCGTGTCGAGTCCGTACAAGGGCACTTTGACGGGTCAACTCGACGGGTTACGGGTAACCTACACCAATGATCACGCCCCTTGTTTGTTTTCATGTTTGTGTGAGATAAGAGTTGCAATGACATATCGAAATTGCTTAAGACGTTTCTTATGACTGACTATGTAAAAAACATTAGCCATATATGTTCAGTAAAGAATCATGTACATGTGATATCTACCACCAAAGTACTACCGGTGTTGAAGATGTTCATGGGTGGCGGTGATCACTTTTTTGTTTTTATGTGAAAAGTTGCCAAGCGAGCACTAGCCTAGCGATGGTTCACCTGATGTTAAGTGAATACCGCCACCCATGGACATCTGCTACACCCGTGGGTTCCAGATGCGTTGAAAACCTTTTGAAAGTTGGGCTCTGGCCACCTCACTCACCAGACGAAACGCGAATGCATTATACTTTCACTTTACGTCGGTCTTCTGTGAGGTCGTTGTACTTACTCGGACGAGCCTGCCCATTCGTGGAACAGCCGAGGCTGCTGCGTGGCCCTACCACCACTTACCATCAAGTGAGCCTACTGCTCGTTTTTCCCTTTTTTCCAATAAAAAAAAACTAATATGATCACTGTAGTTTTGCCCAGTCAAATACCACATCACCGTCGCAAACTAAAATCGCCTCCTCCCAACAGCGCTCACCGCGCCCAACCCGAAGTGCTACGTCTGCGCCCCCAAGCCCGAGGTGGGGCTCGCGTGTGACCTCAAACAGCTCACCCTCAAAGATCTCACGAGCGCCTTCAAGGAGGGCCTGAACATGCTCGCACCGGACGCGACCGTCGAGGGGCGGGGCCTGGTGGTGCTCTCCTCCGAGCCCGGCGAGACCGAGCACAACGATCTCAAAACACTCGCCGAGCTCGGCCTCAGCGACGGCTGCGCCCTCCTGGTGGACGATTTCCTCCAGAGCTACGAAGTGCGCGTCCGCCTCCAGCAAGCGGACGGCGAGGGCTCGTGGCGGCTGATCACGGACCCGGACGCCCCCGCGCCCGCGCCCGCCTCCGCGTCAGCTTCCGCTTCCGCCTCCGCTTCCGCCAACGGTGCGAACGGCGCAGCGGACCCCAAGCCAGGCCCGTCGCGCCCGCGCCTGGACAGCGACAGCGACATGGAGATCGTCGAGGAGGACGACGCCGGCGAGCCTGTCGCGAAACCGAAGCGACGCCGCACTGTGGCGCCCGACGAGATCGTAGAGCTGTGCTAGTAGATGCACCGAGCGCGACGAGCTCGTCGTCCCCGCCCGGAGCGCAGCGCCCGCACGGAAAGCAATGTACGTTGTGTCACGTTCCAATATGTCGTTTGTGTTGGGGAAAACAACACTATTGATCGGGAGTCGTTTCTCGTATACTGAATTTATTGATTAAAAGTTGATTCGCGTCGCATCTTCAACGGCTTTTGAGTTCTCTTTTAGCTTCACCACTATCGATTAGTTTCATAGGAATACATGTTCGAAAGAATTGTGATGCACACAAGATAATTGGTTTAACCTTCTTAAAATTTTACTTTTGTTTCAAGTGAGTAATCTCATTTATATACATATAAGTTGTCAATTGCAGGACATTGAAAAGTTGAGAGGAACTTGACTTGAATTTGTTAATAATTATCCATCTTGACAGTGTTAATGATCCTGCCAACTAAATTATAACCATTAATTTTGTAATCTCAACTTCGGTTCACCAATCTATTAAGAGTCCTTATCATGCCTCTCATTTTGAATCCAAATAATAATTGTTTTTTGACTTTATAACAATGTTTTTGTAAAAAAACATTACTGAGAACAATTTATATTTATATAACTATTGAGAACATTTAGGATAAGTGCAACCCTCAAAAAGTATTTTTTTGCAACAATTAAGGTTTTTTCTTGTTTTTTTATAAGCATTGCATTATTAAGATTCTAAATAATGTAATTTATTATGTACTATTTTTACAACCCTTTAGGATGTGTTGTTGTATTGAGAAATAAGGTTTATTGTACTGCAAAGATTGAAATGTTTTAAAGAAATGGTAATAATAAAATAAAGAAAACTCCTAATGTTTTTATTCTTCATTTCAGAGTTAATAAAATTTGAAATCCATAAAACAAGTATGGTGAGAAATGTGACAGAAGTAGTAAGAAATTTGATGTGAACATATTTTATACATTTTCATATTTAAAGATGTTTATTAGATCCATTCAAAATAAAACCAAACCTAGCCTACAGTTTGTTAATGATGATAAGCCTCTAAAAGTATGTTTGTGGTCAAATAAATAACAAACATTCTACATCTAGAAAATAATGGCTCCACCTGACCCTTATAGGTTAACATTCTTAGCATAGGAGTGAACTACAATACACAATTATTTATTTGAATCAATTTAATATATTGCTGGACAAAGGAGAAAAGTGATTTGATTTTAAAGAATTGTTTGTGAGACTTGATTTGCACAAGTCATTATAAACCACAATGTTGACAAAAAATTTCACTAAGACTAGCACTAAAAGAGATAAATGCATAAATAGTGGTGTACATTACAGCTAACTGATTCACTACATTAAACACTGGAATTGTGATCAATTACAATATTCTTTTTTACAAGTCGGAATACCAATGAATTAACTAGCCTTGGCAAAAATCGTTTATTCTTTCGAGAAAGTTTTTCAATAAAATGCTACTAAATATTTATATCTAATAAACATTGATTTATATCAATTTTCATTACATTCATAGATCAATGATCTTAGATTGATGTTTTATCTTAGAAATTCTATTTTTTTTATACCATTTGAGTTAATTGTTCTTGCATTTTAATGTACTTACATTATATTAAACATTTTCTATGAATAAGTATCTCACACACACACTGCTTTGAATTAGAAACTATTGAAGGATTATTATAAAAAAAAACCAAAGCTAATTTTCTGGGAGCATTCCATATTCTATAAGAAATCTTTGAACATCGGCTGCAAAGAAGTCATTACCAAGTTCTGTTGCCAATTGGACAAAATTACCAATGATTTGCCCACCCTTGTACACTAGCAAAGCTGGCACTCCATCAACACGGAAATATTTACTTAATCCAGCTACATCTGCTTCTATACGGCAAAACTTTATAGTTGGATAATCTGCAGCTAGAATATTAAGACAACCATCCATCGCCGTGCAAGCACTTGCCTTTGAATTAAAGATATGAATAATAACTGTCACTTTTTCATCTTCTTTATCAATAGCATTCAAGAATTCATCTTGATCATTTAATGTTATGACATTTCCAAATTTGGGTGTTTTCTGTAACTGCGACATTAACTCTTGCATTCGTTGTTTGTGATATTTCATTAAAAACTCTTCGTCTAGGAGTTCGTTTAGTTCGTCTTCCAATTCTTCCCTTTCTTTCGCCTGCTGTTCTTCCCGGTCGGTTTTAACAGATAACGTTAACTTTTTGGCAAGGGCTATACGCTCTTTCTCCATTTCTTTCCTGTTTTCAGCTTCTAGCTGTTTGTATCTCCGCCAATCTTCCAAAACACCTTTTGGCCCTGTGTTACTTGCTGCCCCATTCCAATTGTTAATGGGAGGTGGATCTGCTGACTTAGCCGATGATTTTAAACATGACGCTCCTCCTTCCTCATCACCACTTCTTTCTTCATCATCAGAACCTTCATCTTCGCTGCTGCTACAGTAATTATGAAGTTTTTCTCCTAATATTTTATCGTCAAGAGTAGCCATTGTAGTTTTCTTTGAATTATTAGTAAATTGAATATTCTTAATACACAACTATACAATAAATAAATAATAAACGAATATTCTAGTAATTTACTTTATACCATCTTACGCACAATGTTTCATTCGACTAATACAAACAGTTCATGAGTTTACATTTACATCAGTACGTCAATCAGACCCAGACAGTATTACCATTACCAACTATTCAAAAATAATACTCCTAAAGCAATTCGAAAACCCACTAAAATTTACTAAATGCAAACAAAAACTTCCTAAATTTAAAATCACGATTTTTTTATGTTATAGGTAGGGGCAAAATAATTATCTGATAAAATAAATTATTTCATTCAAAATGGTCTAGAACATCAAGTATAATATTATTTTGAAATGAATATGTTTAGAATAAAATCAAAACAAGATAAAAAAAATATTATTAGAATACATAAAATATTCATACTAGACAGCACATATTCAGAGCAGCACAGCATTGTAAAATTTTATTTTATTTTTTTAAATAAGAAGTCTTATGTAGTTTTTTTTTTATTTGAATAAAATTTAACTCTTAAAAAATATTCCAATAAAAATTTACCTTCCATTCCACATTTTATTATTCTTAAATTTAGGAAGAAAATTCCTAAGTTGGCATCCCTGCCAAGAGCCGCTGTCGTCTGTGCATGCCGATAAAATATCGATATATCAATATATTTTATTAAATATATCGATATAAAAAAAATATTGTAATCCTATTACAATTTGATTATTTGAATTTAATTATCATAATTTGAATTTGATTATAATTTAATTATAATAAAATTCTCAATTAAATGTCACATTTTTAATATAATATCAAGTTTTCATTAAAAATTCTTTGACCGCATAAAAATTATTATCATTTAACCACTGTAACTTTTTTAAATTGTCGTTCAGCGTTTTCATGTCAATCAAACAACTATTACTAAATTCTGCCGATCTAGGCATGTCTTTTAGGTCAAGTCTCTGCGGGTTCCTTTTTGACACGTTATTAACTTCATTTTAAACAATAATTTACATTTTTGTACAAAGTTACTTAATAAATTATTATTTATATTATATATATTACAATATATTAAATAAATTGTTAAATTATTTATTTTATTACATAAGCTGTATATTTTTTTTGCAATGAAGTTCTTAGTCAATAGTATACCTATATATTTACATTAATAAAAGAAATTAGATTATAATTAATAATTATCATACCTTAGTTTTATTAAGATTTCTCATACATTAAAATAATGTGAATTTGGTTTAAAAATGACTATTACTTATTATTTAATCAGACAGAACTAAATACGTTATTTTTTAAAACCGAAAATTTGACCAATATACCGTTATATCGAGGCATGTTATATCGAGGCATAGGTTATTGATATTTTTATAAATATCGATTTATCGATATATTTCTTCACTTTCAGCATCTCTATCGTCTGTCAGACTCCGACAGGGTTGAATTTATGTACGTTATTTGGAATGTAAATAAAATATCGATTTTATTATTTACAAGTATCGATATTGAATACTATAATTTTTTGGACGATATATCGTTGATAGTTCGATATTTTATTTGTTGTTAGTTTGAATATTACTTTCTATAATAAGTACGATTTTTTAAAGTAAGCTTTTATTTCCCATTTTGGCTCGTAGATTGTTTTAACAACAATATCGCAGAAAACTTTTTAAAACTATATTATAACTCTAACATTTTGGAACAATAGTAGAAATTTTAAACGGCGCTTTTAGAAATAGCTGTTAAATAACTACAGTATTTGTACTATATTTTCATGCCTCGTACTACATACTATCCATATCTAAGGATAGTATGGAAAAATACTATAATTTCGCTAATTTAAATAAATAACCAATGTAAATTCCAATCCAACATAAAAGATTAGGTAATGTTAACAAGTTTTTAAACAATTGTTATCACAAATTATTACCGCGGATTATAAATAATCTTTATCCATGAACTATTTATGGGGACTTACAATACTTAGCTTGTTGAAGAGTACCTTTAAATATTGCACTAAGACGTAGGTAATAGAGTTCATAGATGCCTTATAGAACGACTATTTTAATATTTCCTAAACTAAGATAAGAAATAAACATAGACGCGATATCATTGTGTTGTGACGCTATTAAAGATGGTAACAAAATTGTGAATGGTAATGATTTTTATGGATGTCGACAATGAAGAAATATACTGATATTTACAAAAATATCAATATCAGCCTTAATATATTGATATCGAAGAGAAAATATCGATATAGCGATATATTCTGTTTGGAATCCGTTGTCCAAAGAAAAAGAAAAAGTAAGTAAAAAAAAAAAGATATGTCAATTAATAAATATTTGACATCTACGGACTCTGTGCTGGATTGAAAAAAAATCGTTTTTGATTTATGATTTCCTTATTCAATATTTTATATCGGTATGATGACTTCAAATATATCGGTTAAAAATATTGATATTTAAAATCAAAAATATCGATACATCGTTATTTTTCGACATCTCTATTGATTTAACTCCTACTGAGGATATGTTAACAAGATTAAATTCTACAGATGAAAATAATATTGAAGAATTGATGAACTTGGTAGAAAAGTAAATTAATGCCTGTTAAAATCAAAATTATACTATAAAGAGTACTATAATTTTTTTACGAAAACTATCCTTTTAAATTTTTTGTTCTATCTTTTTCATTATACCTAAATCCAACCCTGCAAAAGTGAGAATAATGGACAGTAGGCTTAAGATTTTGTGTTATAATTATAGTATTTGTACTATAATTACATGCTTCGTACTATATACTATCCATATCTAAGGATAGTACGAAAATGTACTATAATTTCATTACTTTACCTAAATGACTAATATTATACCATTCCCTGCCAATCCAACATTAAAAGAAGATCTTTGGGTTAAAATCTCGTTGTAATTCTTTTACTTTTTTCATTTTTTTTATACTTTTTGACAACAATTGTACTTTTTTCAATACTCCGCTTTCTCAAACTGCCATTCCATTCTTATTCAAAATTCAAAGTAACAATTTTCTGCGAGTTTTTGAGTAAAATTATTTATTTTTTGTGCATTAATTATGAAAATAATAGTGTAGTACTATCTTTTTTACCGCACCTAAATCCAGCCCTGCTGAAGAGTAAAAAAATATAGCAACACTAATAAATACTGTCAAATAAAATAAAGCGGCATCGTTTTGTTTTAGGTTACCTACTTATTTTCTGAGTAAGTTTTTTAAAAATATATAATTTAAATAGCCAACAAGTAAAATGTTTTGTTGTTATGATATACCATGTATTAGTACTAATTTTTCTAATATATTGCAGAAAAACTACCAGCAAAATGGCGGCGGCTATGCCTATTAACCCTAAACCATTTTTAAACAGCCTAACAGGAAAGGCTGTTCTTGTAAAATTAAAATGGGGCCATGAATATAAGGGATTGTTAGTATCTGCTGATGGTTATATGAACTTACAGCTTGCTAATACTGAAGAAATTGTAGACGGCAATTGTACAGGTTAGTTATTTTGCATTTGTTTTCGATGTTTTAGCTTGGAGTCTAACGTTGATTTAAAACATTTATTGAATTATATACATTTAAACACCGAATCAAAACTCAACAGTTCAATTCAACACTGTCACTTAGGTACTCAAAAATAAGAAACCCCATGATGGATAATAACGAAATATTTTAATGTAATGCTATGTATTCAATTTCTTAAATTTTATTCTTAAGTTTTCAAAATAAACCATTTGGACATTGGAATTAAATAGTTACATTACATTGCTTTTGCAGGTAATCTAGGAGAAGTATTAATCAGATGTAACAATGTCCTTTATGTAAGAGGAGCAGAAGAAGAAGATGAAGAGGGAGAAATGAAGGAATAATAATTAGTTATAATTGATAGGTACTATTATATTTTAAGTCTACAAAGAATTGCATTAGTATGTAAGTTTGTACTCTATGAGTAAGGTTAAGATCATATTAAGTATCTTTTTTTGCACTACATTCCCACACATTTGCAACAATGCATATGATACCTTTTGATTTGTATAATAAATATTATCAATAAGGCATGATATAAAAACCCTGCTCATCATGTTTTTGACTCTGGTATGATTTAATTTTAATCATAACTCACAATATAATTATATTGACTTCTGTTGATAAACAAAGTATGTGAACGTGTTCAACACTATGTATTCAAAAAGAAAGTTGCTACATGCGAAGCAAAATAAATTGGTGAAAAAATGGCTATTCCAGTTGTTTCTTTAACTAACAATTGCAAGAATAGAACTTAAAACACTGGTCTGTATAATTTTTATTATTATTAAATGAAATTCTGTTTAAATTGAAAATGCATTATTATGCTGAAGCTAAGCATGCAAGTTTATTATATTAAATTATAACTAATTGTAATAGCAAGTCAGATTTCTTTTAAAGGTACTTAAAATAAATAAATCTGACTTCTTCAAATGTAATGAGTTCATACTTCATTCTCCGAAATCCACCTGAAAGCTCAGGTCGGCTTCGCCGGGGTTTATGGCGTTGTTTCCCACACAAGACAACTATTTGTGTGGTGCACCAATAATTGTTTGGATCTGGGTGTTTGTCCATGTTAATTTTATGAATGTCAATCAAATGTCCGTACAACACAGGATAATGTTATCCTAGAGTAAGGGGGAAATATTTTTTAACGGAAAAGTATAATAGATCTTTCTAGGTTGTAGTGGTTGTTGTGACTTCTACCCATGTACAAAAAATAAAAGAAAAATTTTAGTTTTAGTGCTAGTCTCTGTACCGTCAAATGGGGTGAATCAAGGGAAACCAGGAAATATTTGCGACGCTCAATATTAATTACCAAGTCGTTACAATGTTTACCATTTTTTGTGCAATGATAGTAGATCTTTAGGACTGCTTATGGCAATACTGAATAGGCGCGAAATTA